CTAGTTTTACACTTTTGTTTTTTTTTTATATAGATACCTTAAATAAATAGCAGCATACCGTGTCAACAGATTGACACAGGATGCTGGGTTAATATCTAGCAGTAAATGTAGATCTGCTGGGTAGACTGGTAAAAAAAAACTAATCAAAAAATATTTTTTTGAAATCAGATTAGACATATGGGGGTATATATTTATCAATAACCCATTACAAATTTAAAAGGTGTCATAGCAACATGCATACTGACCACAAGCGTTTCGCAGCTATTATTAAGGCTGACCCTACCTGACACGCTCAGATGGAGGAAGATTATTTAGAACACTGAGGAACCATGGATGCTGCGGTCATCATTAAGATTTGCATTAAGATTGACTGAGAGGGCTTGGCACATACAATTATAAATAATACAAGTCTATTGTAGTTATACACTCCATCAGTACATTGAGTCTACTTACGTTGGCCCCACTGGCCGCTGTTTGGGTTCAGGTAGTTAGGGTAAAGTCCCTGTGGTTTGTCCAGACGATTCAGCACTTTTCTGATGTTCATCACCTTAAGGTGAAAAACGAAAGATAAACTTTTAAAAAATAGTTGCTCTGTACAGATTTCCATCATTTTTTTTGTTTCTATTTTGTGTGGCTTTACCTTTTGTGCAAACTCTGGATTTCCTGAGAGCTTGCTGAGGTGCATGAACTCCAGATGAAGGGTGCCGTACTCTGCCAGGATGCTGCTCCCGCCCGAAGCCCATGGCCAGTTTCTACCAACGCCGCTGGATGGACAAAGAGCAGAGAGACAGCAGAGATTTGATCAGCGGATGGATGAACGGAGGAAGCAGGAAGAATCTGATCTAATCATGTTTGTAAAAAAGAAATAAACTAATCAGAAGGTTTTTTCTTAGATGAATCATGGTTGGGATCAATTATACGAGTCGCAATGACTTAAAAACGGAGCTCAAGGATATTTTAAGACATTTCCTTTCTTCTTCTTTTGCGATTTTAAAGAGATTCCTAAAATAGATGAGACGTCACTAAAAGAGCATATTTTTTCTTTCTGCTCTCTGGTCACATCTCAGAGTCACCTGGCTTCCTTGACAAGTACAAAAGACTCTGCAACAGTGTGTCTGCAGGATCATTAAAGACACTGATGAGACAATTTCAGGCCAAGGACTGATGACTCTGATGGCAATGCCTCAAGTGAGTACTCATGAATACATATTGGCTATTTACATCACTGTCAGTGCAACATGAAGAGCACAAACAGACACATTCAGGGAAGAGATCCAGCAAATGAGAGAAAGAAGAAGAGATCTGTGAATTGGGAGAAGAGCCACACTCGCACAGATCTCTTTAAGGACGTGGATGAACATACTAATTATCCCCCCTTTCAAGTCATCATGCTGCACAAGGCGTAATTTGTTTCCCATTACACTCTGGATTTAATCAAGTCAACCAAACAGAGAGAGGACCAGGGGAGCATCAGACGGAGAGCGGAGAGATACATCAGGGTCACTGGTGAGAAATGAAATCCAATCAGCGGAGACCCCGATTCATCCAGGAGCTGTGAGGCTCCTGGTTAGAGCCGCCTGCTGCCATTTTCATGATTGAGTACAACTTTATTCCAGATGACTCTGTATTTTAGAGAGCTCGCTAAAATCATAGCGCACCCTGTCAAGCTCTAACCTCTGCCTCCACCCCACCGCGTCATCGGTACACTTTATCTGTCAGTCCATCTGATCCAATCCTTTTATAAACTCAATGATGAGCAATAAATCCCTGCCCTGGATAGGGTGGGGATGAAGCGCACACCAGACCAGCTCACCCATGTCCACCACAATCCCTTTCAAAGCCGCGCTGTGTGAAACATTAAACCACAGATAGAGCAGACGGCTAAATAAAATGAAACCGAGTGAAATAGATATCAGGATAAAAGTGAAAAAAAAGACAAATTATGTGTTCTGGATGTCACATTTGGGAATGGATTGTAAAAGCTCACAAATCTAAAAATGATTGGGATTGGTACAGATGGCTGGAGCTTAATTAGAAATTTAAATTGAGTTGTCAAAGGGAGCGTGCTTGTTTGACTAAACACTGAAATAATTTAGAGATTAAGAGAGAATGAGAGAGATCTCACTCAATAAAAAACACATTATTTGTCCAGTTGAAATAATGTAGGTTTATTTTGTTCTTCAGTGTGTGATTTGTGAAGTACTGCTTGGCCAGTGTCTTTAACTATAAATGCTCTAAGATTATAGGACAGGCCTCCTTTCCTTTTGCTCCATAAATGTTTTACTTTACAATCTGCTAACAAAAAGTAGCAATGATGGATGGAAATAGGTGGATGGATGATGAATGAGACGATGTGTGAAAGATGGATGCCTTATTAATGGGAGATGGAGGGTTTATTAGCAACATATAGGACCTTAAGAAAAACAAATGAAAGATAATTTTTGAGTTTTCTTTTAGAAAACCATTGCAGTAGTAGCAGGGCTCGATATTAACCATTGCCCGATCGACTGGGGCAAGTAGTTTTTATTGTTGGGGGAGTACACATTTCATTTAATTTGCCTGCCGGGCATGTGCAATGATTCCATAAAAAACTCACTCAAATTTACTTTAAAATCACCGACATTCGCTGAAAACGACCCACAAGTGTTTCTGGCGCCATTTTTGTTGTTTTGTTTTAAATTATCGCGTGATTTTCCGCTAGATGGCGGGATTCAGCTCTTGGGGAGAGAATTCTGCAGAGTAGCAGCTGGATGATGAATTTAATCTATACTATAATACACGCTAGATTAAAAATGATCAGTCAGGGATTAGGAAAATAATAATAATAATAATTATATGCGCACAGTGTAAATATTTCTATCATATGGCAGTCTTCTGTACAGTGGTCATATATTAAAAATGTTCATTAAATCTTTTTCTCTTAGACATTGGAGTGGTGCATTTAAATGTTATAGAGCTAAACATGTTAAATTGGTGAGTAGTANCTATACTATAATACACGCTAGATTAAAAATGATCAGTCAGGGATTAGGAAAATAATAATAATAATTGTATGCGCACAGTGTAAATATTTCTATCATATGGCAGTCTTCTGTACAGTGGTCATACATTAAAAAAATATTCATTAAATCTTTTTCTCTTAGACATTGGAGTGGTGCATTTAAATGTTATAGAGCTAAACATATTAAATTGGTGAGTAGTATTAGTGTAAGTTTTTAACCCGTCAAGTTTTTTTTTTTAGATTTTTAACATTCCAATTTATATTTTTCCAAGCACACAACAGTTTAAAGCAAAGTTTGATTTGAAAAGAATGTGCAGGAAGGATGAAAAGCATGTTAACACGGTAATGTAGGCTTGAGTTCATTATCTGATGTATGCATATACACACCAGGAACCTGGAAACTTGAAAAATACTGAATTACAAAAAACATTTAAAAAACAAACATGTTTCATTAATATATATACAAAATGAATATTAGGAACTACATTTATCAAACATTATACTGGGCAAGTAAAAATTGTTTCTGGGCAAATTAAATGTGAAAGTCACTTGCCCTTAGGGCAAGTGGTCAAAATCCTTAACGTCAACCCTTGAGTAGCCATTCAAAGTTTCCCCACTTTCCTTGATGCGCCCTTGGCTGGTTTCCAACAATTCCTTTTTAAACATCAATCTTTCTACTAAAATATTCTTATTTCATTATTTGTGGACATTAAGATCTTAATAGAAGTGTCATGTCCTGGTCAGCAAGGGTTATCGATAAATATATACCCCCATCTCCCTGTAATTCAGTGAAAGGGTGGAGTCAGAGTAAAAACATATGCAAAAGGGGGGTTACTCCAGTGGCTGGAAGTCGGAGGGGATTTTGCTGGGAGTTGGAGGCAAGTGGGCTGCTACTGTAGCTCTGGAAAAAAAAAAAAAAAAGTGCAATAAAGCAAACTTTGTCCTCCAGATGCCTGCTAGTAAAGTTTATTTAGGGTTGAAAAGAGATATTTAAGTAGGTAAATCCAGCGGCTCTGGGTCAGCACACTCCTCCTGCTCCACTTTGGGCCGAAATGAACCAGTTTCAAAAAGTTTAACCTGATTTATATGAGCTCATTGTCGCCAATCTCAACTCTTGTTCTGGGACTGAAACATGGCAATAATCCATCGGATAGCAAACAATGGACCTTACATTGGCCCACTGGTTTGACTGCTGATGCAAACGGCCTACTGGCCCAGTTTACAGAGCTACATTAACAACTGCATCCTCCACACAGTAGAGAAAGGTTTATTAAAGTATATTATTTGGTTAATGTTCTGTTGCATTAGTGAAAGTGGAGCGATCTTATTCAGAGTACCATCTTTAAATGGATAAAACTCACAAAGGGCTTTGGTTTCAGCTTTTGAATGATTCATAGGGACCTGCATAAATCAAAGCAAACCTCACCTGCAAACTTCTTTTGTGCATTTTCTCATTTAGCTTTCAGTATTATCGAACTTGATAATAAAACCTTAAAAAAAGGAAAAGCCTTGAGATGCTGAATAATGTCCACCACTGCTGTAGTGGAGTCTTTCATATTTTATCGTGGCACTGATGATTTTAAAAACAGTGTTGAAGCCGTTATTACAAGCCAACCAAATGAAAATTTAACCAGGCTCTTTGTACACCACACTGGAAATGTTTATCAAATGTTAGTGACCTAGAACTGCAGCCTTATCAGGAGATTACAAAAAGGCTTCCAGTAATGTATGACGGCTCATAGTGGCTTTTCATTATGAATCCTCAGATCAGCATACATTATCCCCCTCTGATTGAAGTGATACGATACAGATTGTCTGAAAGGGTATGGATTTATCTGCTTGTCCCACATTGTGGTGTATTTAACATGGATAATCAGGCAAACATTCGATTAAAAGCATTTTTATTTAACAGTTTTGTTTATCTGTGGCGTTATTTCTGCTCTGCAAACAAGGCTATCTGCATCCCAATGAGCATTTTGCTCTTAGAGAAAGCAAACCCAGTAGGGTGAAGGTGTCTATGAAATAGAATGGCAGGCAGGAGAGTCCTGGCGAGCATTAAAACCGGGTCATCACAGATTGATGCTGCTGTGATTTGAATTAGTTTCCAGTAGAGGACATGATGTGCTCCTGCCAGTGTCTGAAGCCCCATGATGGGATGTCGAGGCTTTATTTCACTCAATAGCTCACACTTACGACTACCTGCAAGACACCAAATCATAGCCTGCCATTTTTCCCACCCCCAGGCACGTACAACAGACCAAATAACAAATATTTGAAGAATGACTTCCCATTTCTGGATTTCAGACGGTTTATCAAGCTGTTCTTTGAATTCACAAGATCGATTATTTTTGCACTCTGTTTCAGAAGTTAAAAAAACCCCAAAAAACTAAAAAAATACATACTTTATATAGTTCTTTTTTTCTTCTCCTCATTTCTGCCCTAGCAGAAAAACGCTTTAACTGTCCTAAGCCTCAGCGGGAGACTTCAACCCCTCTTTTTCCGCCTGATTTTCTTTGCTCCTGCCTTAAAATCTATTGTAGCTCTGCTCCTCTGGGCACAGAGAAAATGTGGACTGCAATAGTGTCAGAGTTAGCGACTTAATTAGAGACCTTAAATCATCGGCGCCTCAAACTGCCTGAGGTTTCTGTCGAGGAGAGCTGTTGAGAGAGTGGGAGCGTGTTCCCTAAAACAAATTTGTGCAACCTGAAAGTCAGGAATTTAGAGCCATTATATTTTTCCACAGCTGTCTGATTGCCACACATC